GGGTGGGATGGGGTCCTTAGGGCGCACGAGTTTATCTCTTTATACCCGAGAACAGGGTCTGGTAGGCCATCATGTAAGATGCGTCTTTCCCAGAGAATTTTGGCTGAAGAGGACGCCACGGTGTCTGTTCATTATCTACGTAGAGTCCAGGGTAATTCAGTCCATAATGTTTAAAGTTGAAGGGGTTTATGATAGTCGCCGTTGAAGGCCGTGTTATCCACCATGCCAATCACCACGCGCTTGGGGATCTGTCCCAGAAACAGGTTTTTCGCGGGTAAAAGATTGATTTCCTTGGGGGATGGAAAAAGTCTTGACTTCTACTCTGCGCAGTGGATATTTAGCCGTGGCATTTTGCAATGCCTTTGCGTGCGCCAGAGCCACGGTCGGACTGATGACCACCTTTCTCACGTAGAGGGAAGCTTCCAAAATTTTAACTTTGTAATTGGCATCGGCCATGGACGACATTAAACAAAAGCTACTTTTGCTACGATGAAACTTCAGCTTTAAACTGACTCCGTTCAATAAAAACCTATCTTGAAAAAATATGTCAGTGTGAACCGGTCCAAAAAGATCAACGACACGGCTCTCCTTGGTCATGCGGTATCTTTTCTTTAGACCTTTGTTGTAATTTTCATCTGCTGTCGGATCGTCGTTGTCCATTTTGCCGGCCGTATCTTTGTAAAATAGGGAGGCTGTGAGCTGCGATGACTTTGCCAGTGGTCCATAGGTGAGCAGGGTTTCCAGCAGAGCTCTGTACGGGTACGTGTTTGATGGAGACGAGACGAGTTTGTCGTTGAGCTTGACGTCGACCTCGGAGAACAGGGAGTGGAGCATCAGACTGACGGGACCCACGGGGACACCGTCGCCGAGGTCAGTGCCATTTTCATTTACAATTTTCGCTTTCACGTTTAAAAGGCAACGTGCTAAATCTAAGTAATGGTCTGTGGAGCCGGTGATGTTGAATTCTATCGAGTCAGAGTCCACAATATTGGTAAGCGGGTTGTACTGCACCCATTGTCCTTTTACGATGGAGGTTTGTGTGGGTGGAACAGCAAATAAATCCAATTTAGACTTGGTGCATTCGCACGAGTGTTTGCTGATGAATGCCATTGTATTTAACGGTCAAATATGTCGGGGGTCCTCTTCCTTCGCTTGCCAGGTGGCCTTCTGAGCGAAGTGCTGGGTGCCTTCCTTTTTAAACTTCCAGAGCGCTTATTTGAATTTTTGCTAAGGTTCCGAGAGGCGCGTGACGTCATTGCCAATCCAGCCTGTCTCAGTCGATTTTTAGTCGCCGTCTTACATTTTGTCCGCCGAGTGCGTCCGACGCAATCTCCACACCTGTCTTTAAGGCCTGTTTGCCCAAGACTTTTGCTCCCTGTTTGATCGCGGGTAAAGCCGATCTAAAAAGACCCCTAACATATTTCCGAGTCCGTATCCTCTCTGAATGGGCGCTCCTCTGAAAAATTTCCACTGCCTCCCACCTGATGTCTGTAGTACCTCTCGTAGTCCATTTCGCTCAAAATAACGAAGGCCTAGCTCTCCGAAAGTGAAGTGTAGCCGTGAGTTTCCCGCGCTAGAATGCCACTTTTTCACCCGTGTCAGTCCTTATATCCATCTGAATCACTTCAAAGTTTTTAATTGTTACAGGAACGTAATGAGGCGTGCTGAAAGAGTGAGCCACCACATCTCCCTGCGCCACGTCAGAGGTCTGCACAGGAACCACCCGCAGCAGCGGGGCGCTCACATCCCCCACCAGTTGATTCTCGGCAACGTCACAATACACGTACATGCTGTAAAACCCTCCATTCACGTCAACGGGTAAATGTCCTTCCACGCTCTCGGCCACCTTTTGGAGCTTTAATCCTAGCATGCGATTTAAATTATCGTCAAAGTAAATGAAGGCGCCGTTTCTGACTTGTATCTTCACCCTTCCGGTATATGCATCCCAAACGATAGTGATATTGTGCCGGGCCGTTTCTGTCATCTCCCCGCTGATTGCATCAATAATTTCTTTCACTGACTTGTAGAAGCCCTGCGATATCCTAGCGTGAGTTACAATGCGACCGCGTTCACTGTAACTAAAAGAGTTATTTCTATCCGTGACATTATACCAAGAAAAGGGGTAGTGAATTTCAGTGAGAGCGACCTCCCAATTACCTTTAAGATTGATTTGCTTCACAAGCCGCGTCGTGTAACTCGTCATTACGTTGTTAGGGTACAGTGACATACTAGAATTACTAGGTAACGTGACGTAAAACTGGGTGGATGACGATGCCATTGCGTCCGTCTTATTGAAGCTCACTCACCCAACTGTTAAACTTCGACGGATACCCCAATCATTTAACGAAATATTCGGTCCTCCCATTTTCCGGCGCTTGCGGATCACCCTCTCCACTCGGTACAGATCGTCAGTTTTGCAAACCTTTTGCAATAATTTTTCTTCTTCGTAAAATGAACCTTTGATATCCTCGCCTAAAAAATCTTTCAGCTTATAAATCGGTCTTTGGAGACCTGCCCGGCGGTCCGCTACGGTAAAAATTTCTTCGGACTGTGCTGGAAGGTATGACTTTTCAAACGTTAATCGCTGTTTGCTGACTCTGACCCAGTCGCCCACATCGAGTTTAAATTTGATGACGTGCTTAGGCCGTGAGTACAAATTCTTCCACGCTACACTGTCATTTTTACCGTCTACTTCCGAGGGCTTCATTTTAATGGAGCGATGGTAGGAATGATTGTAGGCTTTCACCAATTTTGGCAACACGTCAATATATTTCAGAGTATTTTTCTGCGTGAAGTAGCGCCACATCCGGGACTTGAGGGTCCGATTAAACCTTTCCACCACGGAGGCTTTTACTTCGCTTCTGGTTGTGTACAAATGAATGCATCTCGTTTTAAGAAAATCCTGAAAGGCGTGATTTGTAAATTCACTTCCTCTGTCCGTATGAATCATAACCGGGGATCTTTGGCTGGACTCGAGATTATTTTTGAAAGCTTCCACCAACACTTTTCCAGTTTTATTCTTGAGTGGAATCACCCAGGCGTATTTTGAAAATACGTCGATCCACGTCAGTAAGAATTTGAATCCTCGGTTGTACCTTGACAGATTAGAAACATCAACCAAATCCAGCTCGTGAATTTCATCCCGTGCAACTACCAAGATTGGGTTTCTGGGATAATTTTTACGCGTGGGTTTGTGCAGCGTGTACACATCTTGCCCTCTGAGAAACTCTTTAACCTCATCGCGCGTTACTCTGCGACTGCCTTCTTGCTGTGCAGCGCGATATAACTTATCGATACTACTCAATCCACTTTCACGGCTCAGATCGTAATATAAATTCTTTAAAAACTCATTATTATTATTTCGGCTTTCCATGGTCCGCAGTCTCCCGTGTTCTACACTAAAATGACAGTGCCAGTTACAATTTCTACATTTAATAACCCAAACTGCCCAAACACCAAACTTCAACTTTACAGTAATTTTTTTTTCTCTCTCTCTTTCGTTTTGTTCTTTCATTTATCATGTGAAACAAATTGTTTGGTTTGCAAAACGTTAAGATACAAGCGAGTACGTGTAAGAGAAAACTCCAACACTTGTGTTGTTTTAGGATAGAACAAAAATAGTAAATGTCGTAAGTTATTCCACTAACAAAACATCACACGTACCGATTTTACCGTTGCTTAAAAAGACTCAAGTAATAATGCAAACTTTCAATTCTTTAGCATTATAAACGTTGCATTTATCCAGAGATCGGAACAGAGACGCGTGTCATATCATTTATACTACCTGGTGGGATGTATCTTGCTTTAATCTAATGATCCTACTGATACTGCTCACAGTCGCTGACACAGATATCAAACAAAACATTCTGTTTTTCCTCTTCAACTAGAGCTGTACGTTTTACATACATGGCTACGTACTTATAAAAAATACGGTTCGTGTCAAAAATGGTTGGGAAATGTGCAGCAATTTTCTTATTACCCGAAGCTTGGATGTTCCAATCCATTCTATATTTGCTCAGTTCTCGGTCTACAATTTCTTTCAGTGCATCTTCAAAATATCTGGTGACTTTTTCAGGCATTGCATCCATCAGACACTCGTGATTTTTCTGCGTTAGGTCTTCTTCCAGAGGCAAATTACACCCATAACATTGTTTCCTACAAAAAAATTCATCTACCTTTCCTGATAATACGTGGAACAAATATGGTCTGTATAAGATTGAATGCTAGTTCCTCACTCTTTTGACGCTCCACATTGAGGGTTCCATCTTGCTCGGGCGCACTAAGGGTCAACTTCTTGGGCTTGACTTTGCAGCTGTTGTCCGTCTTCGCTCCGTTCGCTATCCCAATAGTCGCGATCCATTCGGGGTCCGTGTCAGGCACTACATCCTCAGGCAGCCGACAGGCGTACGACTCCCCTTCATGCACCTTGGTCAGCTCCACTCTGCTCTTCTTCTTCTTCGGGGGCTCTTGAACCTGTCATAATAAAAAAAAATATTTGATAATTCAACACTGTCGCAACACAGCTGACAAAGACACCAACTGCTATTAGTATTAAATAACCAGTACTATTTTTTGATTTCAACTCACCTCAAACTCTTCTACAGCTCTGTTGATGGCCGTCATCATCTCCACCAACTTCTTCCATTCTGAGATTCGTAGGTTGATCCCTCGTGGACTACTCCAAAGCTTGCCGTCCTTTCTGTGCAGGTATTCCCGGATCTTCACGTACAAGTCACCCTGAAACATGTCCACTACTGCGTGTCGTACCCCCGTCAATTCAAACCTTCGCTCCGTAGACTGGTCATCTCTGCCCAAGCCGCGCTTTGACGGTGTAACGTACGGGTAGGGTGCACTGCGATCTTCGGCACGGGTAATCATGCGCTGTTCCAGTCGCTCGAGTCGGGTTACCATCAGCCTTGGTTAGCCACTCTGGCTTTGCCGGCGCATACGTCATCGGCCGCTGCTCTCTTTCCTCCTCGTAATGAGTACCGGCTGCATCAAAGGTCGACGAAGATGAGGTAGGTGGTGTGTAAAATCCCATCGAGGAAGGCATCTTGAACAGCAGAGGGGTGACTTCGTTGATCAGAACTTCTTTTTTCTTGACAATTAGCTGCAGGCTAGAGGTATGACAGCCTGACCGAATTCCGGGCTCTTTATAATTTCATCCACCCTCGTGCATATTCTGTCCCATAAAGATTCTCAGACGCCTGCATATTCTGTCCCATAAAGATTCTCCGACACCTGCATATTCTGTCCCATAAAGATTCTCAGACGCCTGCATATTCTGTCCCATGAAGATTCTCAGACACCTGCATATTCTGTCCCATAAAGATTCTCAGACGCCTGCATATTCTGTCCCATAAAGATTCCCAGGTTCAAGCACCATACACTCTGCTCCCATTGGCCCCTTTCATGCACCGTGCCCTGATTGGAAATACACTCACTCCTGATTGGCCACCCCTGCAAATGAGGTGATGACGGCATGCATAAATTTTTATACATTTGCATATGTGAATAAAGTGTCTTATCAAGGCCCGACACACTACTCTTGTCCTACCGTGTGTGTGAGACTACCACTTAAGGTCCGTTCTGGGTGGGAAAACGGGGAATGTGACATACGCGATTCGGTTGCCCCAATTTATGTTGTAAAGTTTCAAGCCGACACGAGCTTTGATTTATATGAGCTCATCTAGTCTCAAAATATCTCGGTTCATAATGCCAGGCGCGTCCACTTTTTTCCATCAGAAAAAACTCTCTAAGGCCTAAGCTACATGTATACGCCGTGCTACTGCTGTGCCGAATTCAAATAATTCATTTGTTAAAGTTCGGCCATGACTCCAAGGTTCAGCAAACTGAAGTCGGTACTATATGGCAAGTCGATTTCGTCGTTACGAATGGAAAAGGCACGACACTGCGTTGAACGCAACTGGTGCGCTACTTCAGTGCTACTGCCACACACGGTTCGGCAAAGGAGGACCACGGCGTCTAGTCTTGGCCTAAAACTAGGTAAGAACGATTCCTTCAACGAATTGTGCACTGGCAAACTTTCGTCTCAAACTGCCCAGACTCTGTAGAATGCTATATATGATCGTAAGCCACAAATTTCAGAGTTTCAGAGAAGCCATTTTGGAGTGAATGGAAGTAGAGTTTCGCATGAGCTGTCAAACAGGCCTTTTGAGACAAACGGGCGCTCAGCTCTGCAAGGGCATAGGCTGGTTTGGCCCTGGAGGTACGATTTTCAGGAAAGCGGAATTCCAACTTACAGCATCTAAATGAGGAATGAAGTGCGCATGTGAAAAGCAAATTGCCCCAATACATGTATTTGCTATTTTACTTATCGGTTATCGTGTATAAAAAAAAACCACATACTTTCACCTTAATAAAATAACGAACTGTTGTTTGGTTTAGAAAATAAAAATACGAACACCTCAAGCGGAAGTCCCTTCTGCTAACGCAGGCTCCGCACCCCCCCAGCCTATACGTACGCCCTTGCTCTGGAGCTGCTCTCGTGACAGTACTGGCATTGAAGGATTATCGTTTAAACGAGAAAAAATCTAGTTTACATTGCAAGTTAAACGCTTCCGTAATGTTTCCAAGTTTGTTTTTAAAGATTTTTTTTGTAAACAAAAAGATCACTTTTACGAGTTTTGGAAATAAGCCTCGGCAAAATATATCTCATTAAAATTAACTTGGTCACTGTTTCTCTTCGTTAGGCGCCTTTCCCAAGGTGTAGTACACGCTTTTTTGGGTGCGTTGCATACATGGTACGTTCATGGTTTCACTTTCACAGACACAAAAATCAACTCCATTAACATGACATGTTTGTTGCTTTCGGCCGTCAAAATTTGGGCGGGTACAACGCTTGGCACAAGTATTGCCGCACGTACGGAAAGGCGCCTTAACTCTTGACTTTTCTCCGGTTGTTGAAGTTGCCGTGTATTTTACTTTTAAACCATTTATATGTCGTATGGGTTTGAAATTTGTGACCTTCTACTGAAACTTTTTTCACACTATCTACTTCCTTCAGATTCTTTTTTTTCTTCTTTTCTAACGAGAGAAGTTGATGTCAGAGTTATCTCCACCTATTAAATCTCCTTACTATTCGTTTCATGCTTGATCAATGGAATCTGTTTTGACAAGTGAGTTCCCCATCTACAGTTGTTTTGTCAATTTAGCTCGATTTCCCGGGTTACACATGCACATGCCTACAACTGTCAACTTCTTATTTCAAGAATTCTTGAGATAAAGAATTAGAACGGTGCACTGCTCGCGTCATCTTTTCTTTTCCTCTGTACTGCAGCCTAGGGCAGCACAAAGTCAGGTGAATTCCAAACAAAGAACTTTAAGACACAACCAAACGGATCAACACTGCAAAGAGAGGTTAACTGTCATTTGAATATTTACATTATTCCTCTACCATCGACGATTCACAATATGGAATGCCACCAAGAGGTTGACACAGAGCAGCTACTTTTTCAAGGTTACGGTCAACAAAAACATTGCCGATTTACCACGATATTCATTTGAGTGAATGTCTTGTAGACAACTTGGAAATGTCCAAGCGATCTGATCATTCCTTGCCCAAATGCACACGATACATGTACTCATAAACACTTTCCATTGTTTCTTCAACCCTGACAAAGGAACAATTCGAGTTCAGCAACTCCTGAATAAACTGAAAACAACCTTGTCGACTCTCTCCCCACAATGTCTTGTGAAAAAAAAGCCTTTGGTAACCTCTTGGTGGCGCACTGCACTGTGAATTGCCTGTATTGGACCATTATACAACTGAAATATTCAGTATAAAACTTAAAAACCACACCATGTCAGAATCTATTTCCCTGTACTGATAAATGATATATTGCATTTACAAACACATTAATATGGTTGGCATGTAACAACACTTCAACAATGCAACTACATGATTTCACCAATGTCTAAATCTTACTGTATCATGTTTACGACAAAAATTCACGCTGGCGGCTATAAAAAAAATAGTTCAGAGTGTTACAAACTCTGTTATTGGCAGAACCAAAACTATCTGTAGTTAGTGGGCCTGACACTAGAGTCTAATACGAGTGTTTCACAATTTTGCACCTCCAGGAGTTTGCAACACACTGGCAAAATATAATGGGCGAAATTTGTCGACCCAATGCGTGTTTGGAAAGGGTCGATGGATTTCCAGCATTTTGATTGGCTAACACGTTGCAAACTCTTGGATTCGCCTGTATTAAGCAAAGTTTATTCATAGACAACAATGATTGTTAAACCTGAAGTTAAAAATTGAGGGATTTCCTCGAAATAGGCTTATGTAGTAATGATGTCACACTTTGTTTAACATGTGCGTTATTTATTGCGACCTACTTTGTGTGACAGATTCCAAACTCAATAACTAAGTGTAAATCATTAAAAACAAAGCACACGCGCAAAACTATTTCCAACACCTCAAAACAAAATTATCCATACTGACCACAACAGCCTTCACCCTCCCAGTACTTTGTTGAGAAAATCAAGTGATGGATTCCACTCTAGGCACATTCGTACAAACTTCACGTCGCAAAACGATCACACTCAACAGAGAGGGATCACCTCTCAATGACATCGCAAAAGTAATTCATCACGGCGCCGGCAGTTCATCAATGATGTCATGGAGGATGTCCCCAAATGCTTTTTTTCTTACGACAGTTGCAGCAATTTCACAAACCAAACATAAAGTTTCAACAATTTCTACTGACCATAAAACAAGCAAAAAACAGAGTCTCCGAACATCGATTTGTTTCAGTCAACTATTCTGCAGGAGGGGCTCAATGAAGTTGGCTTTTGAGTGGCTTTGTACGTTTACACTTTACCAATTCCAATGAGTATGAGTTGCTCAGGTCAAACTGGTTGAACGCAGGGAGCAGTCAAGCACAGCTTGGCATTTACAAATAAGTGAGAGCATGCCAGTGCCTTACACTCACTGAACTTCTCAAATAGATAATAATCTACCAATAATAATGAGCAGACCTAATACAGCTCAGGCAGTTTCTAATACAGAGCATAACTTCCATTCCAATCCACTCCAAGTGGGAACAGAAGAGGGCGTACTTTAAAAGAAACTGACAGTACTTTGATATGAACTCACAGCCTAGACACGCAAGTTTATGCCCGTTTGACGTGGAGTACGTTAAGTACGCGAAACAAATTTATTCTGGAATGAATAGTTGTTGTGTCCACGCTGAACGCGTGCAAGAACTTAGTTGGAAAACTTCGTTTTAGTCTGTCTTTCTGTTGCCAGAGAGGGTGCACTTCGTCTCAGGGTGGATAAAAAATTTAATATTCAAGAGAATTATGTAAAAAACAAACAGAGACCATTTAATGCCAGCCAAAGGCAGCCTGACCATTTTAAGATGGGCTTGTGGCACTTAGACCATTTTACTGCAATGGTCAAACTTACAGACCAACTAGTAGCAATTGTTAAGACCTGCTAACACGCACAGGCAGCTTCAAGACAGGATATGGCCATCCACCAATGATCTTGACAACTTCAACTGCCGAGGGAGTGCTTAAAATGGGCTTTCCTCATTTCGGGTGGGGTATCATTGTCACGTCTCACCAGCACCACTCTGAGACTCGCTGTGGGAAAACCAAAAGTCATAACATTATTTACTGGACATTTACACCCACACGAATGACTGTCTGGTGGCTACTCCAATCTGACAGGCAAAATCTATTGACATTTTAGCCAGGTCTGCCACCTTGCGAAGAGAGCCCAGATTGCACGGTGTTGCTTAATTTTCTTTTGTTCTTGCAACTGGCCCCGTGCACTGCCGGCGTCTTTTCAAATGCGTGCAGCGGTATTGTATTGCTAATGCTGGAGCGCTTTGTCCATGGTGGTAATCCACTTGCACTGAATGCCACAAACAGTGGTATACTGTTTCAAAACAATGACGGATACCCCCACTATTGACAACTGAAAAAATTCCCAGCAATTCCCAGCAGGCCTGTCTTTTGTACTGAGTACGGTCTTCTGTTACAAGGCCTAGCTCCTTTTCCGATTTCGGGCACCCCAGCCATGCACACAAACCCAAGTTCTCCAGTACCGGGAATCCCAGCACAAAGTGGTTAAGGTGTGTGATTCATCAACTTTATATGCTCACAGCTGCAGTGGCCTATGACTCCTTTGCTGTCTTGTTAAACCACAGGTGTTCAGGGACAACTACATGAGACTACTGGGCACTTGAAATTTGATTACACCAGGGTAACTTCTCTCCACTCCATACAATGAACTGTCAATAGCAACACTCCCATTCCCTCGAATCTTCATTTGAAAATTCAATCCTTTTTATTCAGCCAAGAATAAAATACTGTTAGCGAGAGGTTAGGCACAAGATTGTAGATATGCAGTCTACATTTGTGCATGGCAGAGCAAGCCCTCCCAATGATTTCAACCATTTTCCAACTGGATGTTTGTAAAACCCAAGTGTTCCACATTTTCACAAATATAATTTGTGCTTAAGCTCCATACTTAAGCAGCCACACACAGGCACTTCCCCCCCCCCAAAAAAAACCATGACTGTGATGCAGAAAGACAGATGGCTATGCAAGCTGGCTTGTACCTCTGAGATGGGGGTGGTTGCAGCTGTGCCTTGGGTACCTTGGCCAGGATAGCTGGGATGTCTTTCTTCTCGTCGTAGCTCTTCCAGAGTTCATACAGCTTCAGGATTTGCTGGGTGATCTCCAAGACCTCAGGGAACAATGGAGTGACAGTTGGCAGGTAAATGAGGTGGATTCAACAAACACACTTCAAGCAAATCATGGCACTGACAAGCACATATCATCTGCCCATCAGCCCTAAAGTGTTGTGGGCCTTATAGTAGTGGAGAAAATTCCTGATTTGTAACATTCTCCCTCCATTTCTGCATCATGCTATTGATTATCATGTCTCAACACATTTCCTGGGTCAAGCAAAATCATGTATATTAAGTAAACAGTAAGGGCAGTTTGTAGCCTGTGGTATGTGCTTGCCAACAGTAGTATAAAACTCACTTAAATGGAAATATGTTTTCAGTGCATGTAGTGATGTATGATGCAGAAAGCAGTTGAGCCGACATAGCGCGAAGTTGTGACTCTATGAAATGCTGACTCATTGGATTTGCTTTCCATTCTGGCTTGACAATGATTGGCATGTCCATCGATAGGAGTAAAAATGACATTGGTAAGGTGTTTAAAACTAGTTAGTAGTGTGTAGTTTGGGAACTGGGTTCCCAATTCCCATAACGGGCTTGTACCCTGTTACTCGTAATTAATGTGAAGATCAGAGCAAAATGCCGAAGTAAATTTTTATCCAAACCGTAATCAATGGTCGGGTTTCGGATATTCGGGTACTCGGCATGGCCCTAAAACCACTCGGTGCCTTTATCATCTGTAAAAACATCCATGTAAGTGGCTTCGACCAATGGGAATGGATGAACTAATTGCGGTATTTACAAATCATTACTGTAAAGCAATCTCAGGTCATTGGTAGGGTGGAAAGCATCAAATAAGTTTCACAGTTGACAGAAAGGGATAGTGGTTAAGTTCTGGAACATATGTATGGGGAATTGGTAGAAACGCTGCCTACCTTGTCCAAGTCCACATTCAGCTCAGCAAACCAGTGTTTGGTGTCCTTTTGGGATATCACGCAAGCCATGTGCAAGCAAGCTGAAGAAGAGATACAAACCAGGTCCACTAAAAAACAATTGTTAATGCCAAATTCACTATGATACAAACATAAAAAGTCAATACTCCTTCAAATAGAAGTACAACTACCATCTGAGGTTTAAGCAACTGGATATATGCAATGCATGGAGCAAGTAAATTCATGACAGCACCCCCCCCTCCAATTAAAATGGTCTAGTGATGCATGTGCAATCAGTAAAGTCACCATCTGGATCAAGTAGTTACCTGGTAAAGGTGGTATTCAGCTGGGTTTTCTCATTGGACTATTTTATGGATGCTAACCCTTGTAAATGGCAACCATCATTTTTCACATAAGCATACACAATATACATTGTAAGCCGAGTCTGCATTTCATAGAGCCCTTAAAACATCCCTTGAAAGTTTTGGGCCCATCATCCTTAAGGCGACTTTCCATACCCACACTGACACTTGCGCCAAGCATTGTGTATCCGTCCTAATCACTTCAAGTGCACATGTGTGTTATATTAACCCCCTCGCACCGGGAGACGTCGACAGCCGTGGCTTTGTGTGAGGATTAGTGCATACCATACATACATTCTATTCATCATGCACCTACGGTTTCAATGTGGGCGTGCTGCTGGACAGAGCTTTGCAAACTGGGCAATACCACAGCCCAGCAGGCACGGTCAAAAGAATCCCAGTGTGAAGGGGTTAATGGAGTTGATTTTTGTGTCCATGTAAGTGAAATGTACATATGGAAAGGTTCCAGCCATGAGAAACAGTTGTGATGACTGCAGGCACACAACAATACCCTGTAATCCAGTAAGTTCTCAGCATTTCCATGAACTTGTCAAGTGGGCATTTGACTGTGAACTGCATGGCCAGCATTTCGTAACTGGTTGCCAGTCCCCTATTTCATTTTTAAGTGATTTGTACTGTTTGTGAATTAATGCTCAGTTTGTTAACAACTTCCTGCCGGGAAACCCTGTTTCGGGCACATATGCTTTATACACGAAACTGGGGAGCCCAAAACCGGATAAAAGAGCTAGGCCTTATAACAAAAGACTGTACTCAGCACAAAAGACCGAGCTGCTGGGAATTGCTAACATTTTTCAGTTCTCAAAAGAGGAGGAAATCCGGCATTGTTTTGAAAGATTATACCACTATTTGTGGCATTCAGCGCGAGCGGATTACCCCCCGGGGACAAAAGCACTTCAGCGCTCCAGTGACAAGCGATACAATACCGCTGCATGCTAATCTGGCCCCTATTGAGAAGACGCACTGAGCCAGTTTTGGGAACAAAAGAAACTTATGTAACACCGCATAATCTGGGCTCTTTCTACCAGGCAGCAGGCCTGGCTGAAATACTCGGGCATCAACAGATGTTGTCTGTTATATTAGAGTAACCACCAGACAGTCATTCGTGTGGGTGTAAACGTCCAGTAAATGAAATTATGAGTTAGTGAAGAATTTTGAAAATGGAAAATCCCCCGGTTGTACGTCATGCAACTTCAAGTTCCACCCAGCAGCAAGTGGTTAACCGTCTGTGTTTTGACCTCTTGCCCGATGATGTACAGCCTATTAAGAACAACTGAACTATGTCGCTGAAAAATGGGAGGTTCTAACCCTCTGGACTTACCCAGGGCAATGAGGTATGGCGGATACAGGAGACACACATCAGTTCTCAGGCTGTCATTGACGATACGCCTGGGCAAAAACACAGAATTTCCCTTTTATTTTATAATGGAACTTTTTCTGCACGTGGAACTTGTGCTTGGTGCTGTAAACTTGGATATTAACCAAGCACCCAACTGTTAATGTTGGGAAAGAGTTCCAAGCTGCAACACTGGGTATCCACAACCAACTCTGTAAATCACCTCAGAACTTTTCAAGAATGGACAAGAAAGGAGGTTTTTACAAGGTTTTCATTCGAGAGAACATACATGAATTAATTAATGTGCCCCAATGTTATGTGGAAATTCAAGACAATGTTCAAATATGCACTGCACAATGAAGACAGTAAACTCTAGCATGGCTGATCTGAAGATATATAAAAATGCCAGAGGCAGCTGACAAAGGACCTACAGAACACAGCCAGGGATGGTAAATGTGGATTTTTTGCAGAAGGAGAAAAGCTGAATAAAAACCTTAACAGTGCAAGAAAGATCCTGTGATGAGTGTCATGGGTTCTATGGTTTACTTCAAACAACTTTACTCACTTATGGCCAACGAGAAATGACCCGGGCCACAGTGGTGCCACCCACAATGCACATCATAATATATATATTATGTTATGTATTATAATGTTATGTAACTGCACACTATATGTCCGTAATTCCAGTGACACTTCAATTTCAGTACACTTACAAATTAATGACACACTCTGAAGGAAAGGAATCACTCATACTCAATCCAACCAAGAAACTGCAATGTTGAGGCAGCTTAGTCTCAGTACAGAAGCAAATTCATTTGAAATAGGGGATACACCAGGATATAAATGTGAAGTTCACATGTCCAAACCTAAAACTCCTTAATATTCAGAACTGCCATAGTATGGTGGTTCTCACCAGGCTAGGGGCAATAGTATGTCCTCCTGTCCAAGGTCAGCTACGTACTGCATGAGAGGTCGGTATGGATGGAATACAATCAGACAACAGTCCTGCAAAGAAAACAGCATTACTATACACTGATTATTACCACGACATAGACCCTTGCATATATACAGAATACATGAAACAGGCAGTCACTGTGATCAGAAACTGACAAGGAACATGTCTGACTGCACCAATTCTGAAACCAGTTTCGGCAAGGTGAAGTGGCAGCCAGTTTTTGATACTTCAAATTAAATGCCCATTTTTGGGAGTTTTGCACCCTTGCTGGGGGTAGGTTTGACTCTACTTGAGCTCCTCTCTTGATACTTAATATAAAAATCCAGTTCTGGAGTATGTAAACTTACATGTATATGAATGGTCTCACTGCCAGTCAAAATGTAGGACAGACCAAAGTGTTTGGTACAAAGAGTTATCTATCAAGTGTCTGATTGGTCATTGGAAGTTTGTCACCTCACGTGACAATCATGACAAAAATGGGCCCTTTGTTGGCCCATGTAAGCTTAGCATCTCACTGGAAAGAGTATACAACTTGGGCTGACATATCTTGGAAAAATTCATGAGCGAAAACGGTAGTTGATTTTTCACAAGATTGATGTCAAGATGACAGCAAGTTACTAAAACTCCTTGAAAACTGGGCACGTAAAAAAAGCACTGGGATAATAAAGGAGAAATGTTGAGGTCGATGGGGATGGATCCCACCCCCTGCTCTCTTTGGGTCTTCTCACGTTTGTTTGTCAGGGTTGGAGTAACTTAGAAAGTGGCGGTAATCCATAAAACTAAAAGAAAAATAACTCAAGAATTCTTAAAATTGACTTGAAAGTGTGCTGTCATTTTTAACAGTCCACTCTCCACACAACAAAATAATGTAGGCGAACTCATTCCATAGAAGTTCAAAGTGGCACATAAACTAGTGACCAAATCAAATACTGTACTTTCAACTTTACTTGCAACAAGTATTTACTCACCATTATTTCAAGGAGGAAAAATTCACACTCTAAAACCTGCACAGGTAAACCAATTTCAAGGAAACATACATGAATTGAGCAAATTTTAGTAAGACATGTCACTTAAAATGTGGGACATCAAGCATCCATATTTCTGGTTAATTTCATAGTAACCACGGTTTTGATGAACATATTTTGATGACAACACAGTAATAAAGAAAAAGAAAGCTAATAATTATTTGAAGAAATTGTCTTTTTTCTTTTAATGAGAACGCATGACAGGCTTGTTTTAAATTTAAATCCACTCTAATTTTTGGAGCACTGTTGTGTTTTTTTGGGAGCTGACCATACTGTATCATTGCTGTCTACTCCCAGTATCCCTGACCAATATAAATCAGAATACCAACCTGAGTCATTCTGAAGGGAAACTCCTGATTTGGAATGGCATAAGCAAACTTCTTCACTGAAACAAAAATCATTTGAGCCGTTTCAGAAGTTTCAGAATCAATTACTCCTACACACGGGAAATTCAATCATATTCAAACAGTTTCTAATAACCAAATTTCTGAGGATTACAAGAAAGCTTTTTGGGCACTTCATATTAGTTGGAAGTCTGCCAAACAAGTCCTGGAGTTTATTACTCCAATGTTGGACAATGCATGTGAGCAGATATTGCAGCGTGGCTGAGAAAAGCATCAGCTGTACAAATTGAGTTACCAGCCAAAATTCCATGCTATGTTTATTGCTTGTGAACGGTGCTCTTTGATTTTTTGGCCAAAGCACATAAATTTGCTGGACAAAATATACCTTATTTAGGAGAAAGTACTTTTGTTGATCTTGTTCCATGACTCCATTTTATTAAAAAAATTTGGATTGGGATGGTACTAGACTATTTTATGACTGACTGTTTATGACTGTTCAAAGCCCCCCTTTCATTTTTTCCCCAAAATCCACCTGAAAAATTCTGACCTACAATCATGGTTCCAGTGTTATTCACTACAGTAGGCCGGTGCTAATTTGTCATAAAATTATATTGCTTCAATTTCTACCCTCAAGTTCTAACGATTAAGTGTCAACCCTGTTTTTAATTTCAACATGGCTGACTTACCTACTGACTGGCAAGCATTCATGAGTCTGCTGCTGGTTATTACGCCAAACTCCTACAATCAGGAAAGACAGCAAAATACCACATTCAGTCAGTAAAACTGCAGGCTGGGACTAGCACGTGGGGAAAGTTTAAAGAGTTTCTATCATAAAACAGCCATGGGGCGACTAAAGTTGATATGTACATAACAAAAGTGAACTCACCTCTACCTTGGACGCCAAGAATATACTTGTTGGCCCAACCAGCAAAGGATCTATGCTGTTAAGGGGATGTCTTGAATAGACCAAAAAAAACAAGGAAACTTGAAATCAAACATCAAATTAACCCTTCAAAAACAAAAGAACTGTTTGAGGAAGAAAAGAAATAACTTCTTGTCTTAAGAGAACTGAAAGACATAAACTTTTCTGAATTTGAAAAAATAATGACAGGTAATTTTAGGGGACTGGTCCATTTTCCTTCCTTCTGAAAGTTTGTAACGAGACCCCAGATTTAACCTCACCTATCAGAAAGGTTATAAAAGGTGACATAAAAACTTCCTAAATTCTGTGGTCCCCCTTCAATTTTGTCCCTTCCCAACATATTTGGTTCTGGACCTGCCCTTTGTCAAATGTAATGATTCCACAAAGGTGTATCCTTTTCATCATTTAGTTTGGTTGCTTGAGGGCAGAAACTTCGTTGTTGAAGGGACAAGGTAAATTCTCCTTCGTAAAGGGCATTTGTATTAGGAAATCATGTTTGTTTATGGGAATGTTTCAATGGACATCAAGGCCAAGATCAGGGACATTAACTGCCTCCGTCACGGTTAACGTCCTGCCCTCTAGCTTGGTTTCTGGAGGACTGACAATGTTGCTGGAGCATTTACTGACTTGGCATAGAAGCGCTTGAAGTACACCATGCCCGTGGCTATGACCTGCTGCCTCACTTTTAGCTGCTCTCCGATGGCCTGCATGACTGTAATCCATAAAACATTACAATGCAATCAAATGCAATCAAAAACAAGGTTGAGACTTGAAAGACTATTCCCTAAAGGGGCAACGAATGTACTTTAAAGCTCAACATGAAATATTTTTGCCACCATGTGTCTTATCCTTATTACACTTCTAAAAATAAACCTTTAAGGATTTTGCAAGATCAATTTAGGTAGAGCCCAGCTACTTATGCCTAGCACAGACAGTAATGGATCCGGAGGGAGGGGGCACAGTCACCAGTGTGCTCCTTATTTTTCCACTTTTCTGAAAACGAAAATCCTTTATTTTTTAGAATTGTTTCTTTTGCCCTTGAATCTACAGGCACATTTTTAGCTAACCTGCTCGCGTGCTCAGGTTCAATTCAGTTTAAGGTGACCCACTTTCATAAATGCTGAACCCTTCAACTCTTTTAAAGTTTTTTTTTGGCACAGTAGAGGGTTTCAGAGATTGAGGAATATATTTAGAATAAAATGAGTTCTGGTTCAGGTAATGCTGATCATACACAGCATTTTACAACTCTCATCTTCCCCCCTGTCTTCGTCTAAGGACTTTGGATTTAAAAAATCAGTACCTGGCTAAAACAAACTACGAATGCAGCCTCATTTTTTGGCTGCAGAACTATCAGATCGTTTAACCCTAACCTGCATAAATCCTCTAATTTCCTTGCATGAAGTGTTAGATTTTGAAGGATAGAGGCATATGGCAAAATGTGTGGCTGATATCAAAGGATACCACTGTATCAAGGTGTAAGGCTGCATCTTGTGCAGTTAATGCTTGGCCAGAACCAATTTTAGGCCCAGATTGTACCTAATGTCATCCATACAGCTTCAAGATACCATTTACACTGTGTTAACATAATGACGGAATTAATTTGATCACCTTGCCTTCCAGGGAAAAGATCCAGGGTGTCCTTTTACATGGAGGCATTTGGGAGGATTTCGTTGGACTGAGGTTGCATCCTAACAAAATAGCCAGGGGAGTTAGGGTTAATGTTGGACCAAAGCTTGGAGGATGTTCTTTTGGTTCCAACAGTAAATGTCTGATACCAACCATGGAGCTTGAAGACAGGAAAAAATGAGGATTAAAAAAAGGGTAAATATCTACTAGCCATGACAAACTACGCACTATTACAATAGAAGATCATGACTTTCTGGTACTCTTCCTCTGAAATGCTCATTAGGTCCTTCTGCCTGTCCCTCATCAGGATCTGGGGGTCTAGTATCCACTGATTGCTGTATTAAAGACAAAAAATAAGAAGATGGAGTATCAAAGGAAGCAAATAACAAAAGAGACCTCACATCAAAGTTGTTATTTGCTCTTCCCCATGATTACAATGAGCAAATGACAAGTACAACTACCACAGCAATGTTCTCTACAGGTTTCTATTTAATATGCTCCCTAACCACAATTGACAAAGTGTGCTTGGCACATACGCACAGTTACATAACCCTAACTGTGTCAGACCCAACAAAGTACAGCATTTTAAATAATTTTAATAATTTTTGGGAGGCAGTCCGCAGGTTGGTGTAGTGGCTCTTTCTTCGCCTTCCACCTCGGTCAGCATGTGGATTGGGTTGTCAGTCCCTGCCTGATTTCATGGGTTTTCCCTGTAATATTTAACAAGGGTTTTCTTCCCACGTCTAAAACTGACCATTTCGTCAGTCTTCCTGTCACTTCGTCCTGAAATCAGGGCTAATAAATGCACTGATGGATGAACGTATGTAACTAAAAGAAATAAATGTAAAGTGTAAAAGTCTAGTGCATTATGCTGTGATGGGCAGTCAATGGCATTGCAATAAACTGCCCATGTTGAGACAATGAAACAAACATCCACTGAACTTTGCTACTGTTGGACCCTGAGGTGGCCAGCAGCCATAAGCTCTAGTATATCTGGGCCCTTTTTTATGGAGCTGCTGAACAGTAGAAAAATTGTGCTTACTATAGCATCACGTTTTGCTAACAGTGGTCACCATTTCATGGTAGTGCTTGGCATGGTTGGGCTCACAGTCGCATGTGCATGGAGATTTCCATTGTGCTTTCACTACTTTAAGCAAATTTGTTCTAAAAAGTAAGCATGTCTTTTGCCGTGCTTACTGCTTACGGTGTTCATGAAATACACAGAGCCACAGTGTGCGCTTAGATCTTGTTGCACTGGGCAGGCAAGTCACTTTTGACAAATGATGTAAACTCTCAGGGCTTCTAGCAAACTGTGAACTCCATAGAACTGCTGATCTTTACCAGTGGGAACTCTGCCAGAAGTTGCCAGCCATCTTGAGCAGCTCCTCCACAACCTTCAAGGCTAGTTGTCGGTTCCAATCAATGCTCAGTCAATCTCAACATCTTCCACCCAATGATACCAAAAGAAATCACAGATCCTGTCTGCTGTTCAAACACAAATGGACATGTGGATTGTAGCAATTTATAACAATGGAGCTGAGGGGGTGCTCTTGCTTGTGGAGTTTCTGCACTAAGTTTCTTGAAGGGGATATTTTAGACTTGTCTGCTAAGGAGACTCCGATGACAACATTGTCATGATTGTGGTGGATATGTTGTGAAAATGTTGTTCAGACCTAATGCGGGACTACACAGCTGCTTTTCATAAAATTTAAACTTCTGATCAAATGCCAAGTTGTTGACAGTTAAATGGGAAGAATTCAATAAACAGACATCAGTTGTCTTCCTGACTGTAACATAGGGCCTACATCATACTGTTTCTACGGGCATGATGGGGTTCATCGACACACCACACACCCAAAACTGTGGAAACCAACCTCATAATTTATGTGAAAGGTTAGTTCTAGTGGGTACATGTACATCGTATCAGTCATTACAAAGCAATAACATGTCCGGTAAAAAAGTTAAATTTAGCCTATTAGGCTATAAGTGTTAACTGGGAAAATACTGAATATGGAATTCCATACAGACATGACAAACGCCACTAATTTCAGTAAACTGGTAGTCATTGGAAAGCAATAAAATGTCTTAAGAAGTCAAATTTGGCTGGTAGAAATACTGAGGTTTCAGGGGTTCATTACCATTATCACCCTGTTCCTATAATAAGGAAACAAAGTCCACTTTCTCAAACTGACTAACATTTGTACCTTAAGGAATTATTACTCAATCCTGATAGGACTAGGTTAGGTAACTTTTGACAATATTTAAGCAGGAAAACTTCAAATTTCTAACCTGAGTTTGGAAAAAGACAACCACTCAGTCGAATCATGCCATTTTGTTTTCATCTGGTTACCCGACTCAGGCATTTTGAATTCATCAAAACAAATCTCCATCAAGGTCAAGAAACCAGACTACATTTGCTTTCACAGCTCTTCGGAGCAGCCATGTATGCTACCGTTATACCTAGCCCAGGTTGGACGTTGTCTTCATTTACACCACAACTGACGTCCACGGTATGAAAGTCCTCACACAATGCAATTTTTTTTTCAATGTTTGTTCTCACATTTTTACCTGGCAAAGACAGCTCTAATGTCATTCACAAGTGCCCTGTATCCCAAATTCCAAAAATGCTGTGTTGAAATTATGAAATATGCCTGCCGACAACGTATTTTGCAGGAAATTTAGTGCAACTCCATGCTTTCTGTTGTGAACGAACTACGTTCGTGTAGTCAATGCTAGTACAAGTACTTGTACATGCGTGAAATGCATAGATATAGTGTACCCTGGCGACGAAGCTGTGTATACCTATAAGCTAGACATGGAAAACAAAGATCTGGAAATGTTACTACAGTATAGTATAGTATAGTGTAGGCAGGAGCTAACCATTTTGTATCCCTGTTTATTATCTGTGCATGAAATTAGTTCATTTCATAATTTGTTGTTTCAGTTACCAAAATTTTGCAACCCTCTGAATGACAGTGATCATCCTCATACTAATTAACATTTATTCACATACTAATGAATATTTATTTGCATATTTCATATGAATTTACTTCAAAATAGTTGTGCAAATCACAAATACAGTGCAACATACTTCCGAAATGTAAGCAAAATTTTCAAAATTATGAAGCTTAAGTTGGAACAACTGGAGGTATGGCGAGGCAGGTTATTTACATGGCATGTGTGAATTAATTAGTGCTAACTAGAATACAGAACATAAAAATAAAAACACATCACTTCCTGAGATTCGCAATGAAATTAGCTTCAAAATGAGTACCAATATGATGGGGTTTGCTCTAAAAACAAATTTATGTGTGACATCGCTATTTCTGATATGAAAGAGGACATCACCAATAACTTGTTTAGATAAGTTGTCTCGAAAATGTAGAACTTGTTCCCTTATAATAGGAACAGGGTGCTCAAGGTAATGAACCCCAGGTTTCATATATAGGGTCAGGGTAGAATTTTGGACAAGCAGGGTGTCGACAACACACGGCTGATCCCTTCCTAAGTCCACAGTGCAGCGTAGGGCGATAGCCCTAATGTGGCGAACTGCATAGGCCTAGGCTTAACAGTTAAAGACAGACTGTGCCAAACAGAAGACAAGAAAAAAGTTATATAAATAAGAGTACTCGACTTACAATTCCCCACGACTCCTTTGCATAACCCTCAAGTAAAGACAATATTACCTCTTCTTTACAGCTTCATACGAACGACATTGAGGAGACGCAACGACCCGCATGCATCACAAACTGTCCTCGTTGTCGGCGAAGGTCAACGACCTTCTCTAGCGTTGAGCGCTAGCGGCGCGCTCACCGTGCAGCGTGTGCACACAGAGAATTAATTTTTCACGCAGTAACCAGCGTTGTTCCTTTTTTTTTTTTAAGTTCCAAATCTGACCACCACTGATCTTCCCCAACATCTGGATCTGGATAAATACTCTGAAAGATTTAAATGAGCATCACTCAGAACATGACTTCACAGTTACCAAAAAGTGTGAATCTGTTGAAAAAACACCAATTTAAAGGCGAAAAGAGTTAAAAGGTTAATACGGGGACTGACGGCATTTTAATTGCCCGCGGATGCCCCCCCCCCATTTGAAATCTGTGAATAATCTCCATTGAAAGACAGTTGCATTAGACATTTAGGCCAAGTTACTCCTCTGCCAAGGCTTCTTGGAAGTGTCACGACCTACAGTGCACGATGAGGCCTGTTGGTTTGCCATCACGTACACCACTGGTTTGGTTCTGCAGGGTATGGGGAAATTCCCTGTGGAACAAACGAACAGCCCTATATTCCCTACAGTGGACTTACTGTTACAAGTGCCTAACACTTAAATACTTCATCCTGAGATGTCTGACACTGTGGGCATAAATTCCCGGGGGGGGGCATGGTCTATTAAATCATCCCACAACTTTATTAGATCATCCCACAACTTTTTGTGGCGAGAACAAAAAGTGGATTATGAAGAATTGTTCAGACTTCCCAATGACTAAAATGCATTCAATATCACTAAAAAAAGGGAAAACAATAAACAAGCCCAAACACATACCATTCTGATGTAAATTAATTCTGCATGAATGTAATGCATATTACAGATGTACATCTGTATCATGAACATTAACTTCTATATAGTGTCACCCTCCTCCTAAACAGCCATACACAAGAGGGATTTTGTTACTCCAAATACATCATGAACTCAAAAATCTCTTAAGGGTTTGACCATTCTTCCATGGCTAAAAATAAAAAATTAATAACTAACAATTTAAATGCAAAATTGCACTGATCATAAAATTGCAGTGTTTTAAATCCATACAAACATGTTTATTGCAAGATTGTAGGTCACAGAAACATAACGTGGGCATAAATTGAAGGGTGGAGGTATAAATTCCCCGAAACTGTTTGACCAGAAAGGATGGAACATTCATCAAAGCTCCCCTTCAATGGTGCACAAATTTGCTTCAAAAATTCAAATTTGTCCAAAACTAAATTTACAACATAGCATTGACAACAGAGAATAGCTCAACAAACTTTAAAAGTACTGTTACCCTAATAACACACATGAGCTTTGATTAATGGGTAAAGAGAATAGCATAAAAACTGACTTGAAAGGCAGTTACTTTCAGGCACATAGATATGTACATCTTTGTCATGAACACTGCCCCCTTTGTGAGATGTTTGGTCCAACTCAGACCTCAACTCCCCCTTCCCTGAATTTTCATGGTCGGACAATTTTTAGGGTTTTGTCACCCCATTGCTCTGCAAGGACCTTAAAAACCTGGGCTCACAGGTTAAATTTTGGATTGCTACGTGTGAAAAATTTCATCTTTTATGACATTACGTTCAAAGAAAAAGATGGCCAAGTGTCATTTCTTTTCCCTCAGTTCTGATTATAAAATGCTACATACACACACAAATATTCAACAGTGACTGGAAATGGTTATAAAAAACACATTGGTTTCACTTTTTAGATATTTCACTTTAAAAGCCTCTGTAATTAATTCAGTTTTATTATTTAAGGCAACAGCTATAAAGACTTGTCCAAAACCAGACAACATGGCAGCCTGCTTATATTTCTTAAATTTATTATTATTATTTTTTTGCACAGCTAAAGTGTTTTCATATGTAGGCCATCAAACTTTTCATAGGTCCCTAAAATGTTTGTGAGCCTATTGGATAATCCAGCTCTTCTTGTTGTAGTAGTGCTTCCTTGGCCTCTTTGGCCTCCCTAAAATCATTTTGGGCATATGCATGAGCGTGAGTTGCAAAAGTGAAAATAGCTAGCCAAAATCTACAATTTAAGAAGTTCCCATAATTTTGTAAAAAGAGCAGGTGTACAGAAAAGCTGACATTCAGAATAAAACAGAATAAAACCTGAAAATTGGCTAAAAAGCTGAATGAATTCTCACTTCCCTGCATGAAAAACTACCATTAATGTGGTCTTCCACTGGTTGTATGCCTTTACAATCCATCCCTACTGCCTGAATACACTGTACTCAGTATGATTATGCCCCTCTGAATGAACACAGAACATAAATACCAGTGAGTTTGAGATGAACTACAGGTATGACTTTCAAAGACAGTCATTTGCATTAACTTACATAAAATCAATGTTTTAAGCAAAACATGTTTCATTGTGAACAATGATTTCAATGACTTTTTTTTTTCACTAAATCCTTATTTTTATCAGCCCTGCCCACTGAGCACATCATCTGCAAGGGTTTTCAGTATCTACCTTGTTTATGGTTTTTAATACCCTGAATGCCTTTCTGGAATTTCCCCCACCTCTGAACCCATAATTTCTTCTTACTGTGTACGCTCTAGAGCTTTCTCCAGGTTTGTGGGCTATGGTGCCAAGCACACGCTTAGGTAATCCTTGGTTCCATTATCAGAAATGATTCAGAACAGTAATATTGTGGTGCTGTTTTTTCTCAATTATCCAGTAGAAGTCCTGCTATTTGTCAATATCATTATTACAAGGGGTGCTAGTAAGATGTCACCAATCTGTACATTATCTAGCCAATCATTATGGCCAAAGCTACAGTAAAATTAACTTTCCACAAACTTGCACATAAATAATGACGAAATTCAAAATTCCAGCTTTCAATTACATAATGTCCACATATCTTGGTCACCATTTACAAAATTAATCAACATGACACAATTATGACAAGCTTAATTTTACTCCATGAATCCTTGCAGCCACAGGTTGATATCATTATTTACTCTGTCTCTTCCACTAAAGCTAGCTTGTGGGCAGTAAATGTGAAGAGGAAATGGAGCAGTTGAATACTGGAGTATTCAATGATTGGAATGTTATGCAAAATCAAGGAGAGGGAAATTTAACCTATCCATCTATTTGGCTACTTCTTCTTTCCACGAGCACGATTTTTGAACGTTGACAATTCGGTGTGCTGGTCACGGAGGGCGACCCAAGACTGCCACATGAGGGCGCCAGGTATGACTACCCAAATGCCATTGAAGAAGACCAGATAAACCCAAAGGAACAGGAAGTTGCTGGTATCCAAGTTCGGACTACCTGTTATCCACTCTGGACAGAACGTCATCCAGCCTGATAGGAGAGGAAGAAGTAATTAATCTCTATTCAAAGTATTTAGCATTTAAAAATTTACAGGCCATCCACCCTAATCAAGTTTCCAAGTTTTGATTTTTGTATTGTAATGTTTTGAAAATGTGCTTGAATTGATCAAGGAGGCAACACGAAAATGTTCACTCATTTAAATTGTATTGAATACAGAATAAGTTTGGCAGGATTGGTGGGTTAAAAATTTGGGGAAAAAATGATACAACATTTAAAATAGTGCAAAGTTTTGAGTAGCCAGTGTAAAGCACTTATGGATATTCTAGTAATACAAACCAAACTCAATGCCATGTCAGAGCTCAAAGCTCCGTCTCTATGAGCTCTGAGCTTAACCAAGAAAGGGCATAATTTCTGTAAGACTCAGGCTCCTTTGGTGGGAACTGCACTTCGCTGGTTCACAAATGACTATGCAATGCACACATTATGGCTGCATCGCTACTAAATAAATACTCCCCACCGACTTAACTCTTTTCAACCGTTGAAGAGGTGCTTCTGCTCAAGGCGGATTGATCATTGCAAGCTGACATTGCAACCTACATGCTTAACGAAGCCACCCAATACAATACCACACCTTGCTTACTTATATCACAGGCTCTGTAGGTGGATATCAGCACCATTTCTATTGGGCCTACACAGTGTGTGCATACAGTTAGTGACTGACTGCCTGTCTGTGGGGCCATTTGTGCAGTATAGCAATTGCATTACATGCAACTGAGCAACACATAGTTTTGCTGACCCACCTCCGTAGAGTTCACAGACACACAGAACAATCTGGACATAGTGGTGGTAGTGCTTGTTGCCCAGGATGGCATAAATGAGAACAACGGCCAGGGTGCCATCAAACACTGCGGTCAACAACTCCATGGAAACGATTGTCGGGTCAGACACACCCCATCGTGCATCAGCTCTGGCGTATTCCTTCCCTACATTCCAAAGCAAAATTAACAAAAATAAAAACTCAAAATTCCACATTTGCAATGCACAATTCACCAACAGGCAAATTATACCGCATGTAGTAACAAATAAATAAAACCAAGCAAACTGGCAGATGAAAAACTGGCAGACAAATAGCAGAGATTAAGACATGAATGCTGTACACCAGAAGAAATGACAACAAAGTATTCGTTTGGTAATTTATTTGATTGTTTTTTACTTCATTTTTTTTAGTTGAGGTAAAAATCGGCTGGAAATAATACACAACCGATAAACTCTTCATTGAAAGATTAAAACAAAACAGAAAAAGGAAAATTGTTTTGAACACTCTGGTAGCATGTAAGCCGACTATTCACCTTTCTAACTGTAAATGGCTCACCACATCAACCGGCCATTAAGAGTACACAGAGGACTGATGTACGAGATAAAATGTACTCATCTAACCATCTAACCGAGCACACTTGACCCTTGGCATAAAATATGATCACACTCAAGGTCATAGGTTATATTTAGCCTTGATAATACCTCAGCAGAAAGGTTTACAAAGCTTTCTCTAAAAATACCCAGATCTTATAAGCAACACTCAATCTATCAACATCTTCAATGTGTACCTACATGTTCATGTAGGGTACTGGCACAAGTTCAAAGAAAGTGTCATTCACAACACTTCATACTGCATCACATAGAAAAACCAGTTGTAACACATAGATCAGTCTGAAATTTAGTGCTGCACATACAGGGCCAAATAATAAAGTCCAGCAAAACACGTACCAGTAAAGGATAAAAAGTGAGTGAAACGGCCATTCTGTATGCTGGCCAGTACAGCAGAAAAAAACTTGACATAAATTGTCTGTGTCATACATGTGCTGTTGTTCTACGCTTTTCTTAAAAAACATACTTACACACATCTGCCAAAAATCCATCTGTTGTGAGCACCGTGCCAACCAGGGAATAGTACACAAAGACACCTTCCTGAAGCAAATAAGAATGAATCCAGAAATCATGTCTCATTTTAGACCCTCTTTCATAGCGTGCTTTTCCAACAAACCAAGCTCAGACCTTGCACTGCAAATTGACATTCTCACGCTAGATACACTGTATATATATATATGCCAACCTGGTGAAAATGAACACCAACATTAAAAAAAAAAAAATTCGCGTGAAAAATATCAACATACACTACAGAAATGCAAGTCAGCATGTCAACATACACGTGAAAAATAAATGTCAACACACACTCGAAAAATACATTTAAGCATACACGTGAAAAAAATATGTCAACATGGCCAAAAATACAGCAACCTATTGAAAACCATGCCAACATTCATGTGACGACATGTTAGGAACGTCAAGTGTATAAAACTGCTTCTCAGTCCATTCTGGGCGAAGAATGTAAAATTACAACCAGTTTAGCATGTTCTGCACTTGCCCCGCGCAAACTGCAATCCTAGCTAGCAGGCTATCAAATGTCAACGTTTTCGCATCAGAGCTTGTGCCCCTGATCTGCTTGGGTAATCCTGGCCCATGGTTGTATGCGCAGGCCATTCTACCCAAAAGTGGCAACTATCTTCTGCCTTGGCTTTATTACAAAAATTTCTTTGGTGATTTTGCATGATGGCCAGAAAGTAAGGGAAATTCACAATCGAGCGCTACCAAGAGTTTGCAACTCGTTGGCAAATCACAAATGCGGGGAATTTGTTGACCTTTTCCAAACGCGCACTTGGTTGACAGATTTCATGCATTGTGATTGGCAAACGTGTTGCAAACTCCTGGTGGTGCACTATTGTGAATCACCATATTGTGGTAATACAAAAGGAACAGAACCATTTTTCACTCCCATAGTGCTTTGCAGTTACTGTGCAAATTCGCAAAAAGCAGTATAATTTACAATACGATCTACAGGGCTTACCATTCCTGCCTCTGCTAGAGAAGCAGTATGATAAGCCTAGTTCTAGGGCTCTCTTAACGTTGCATCTATCTCTTCATTCTAGGCATGCCCACTTCCAGAACCGTAGGTTTATACTTCATCAGTAGGAAATTTTGTTGCACAAATATCTGTGATGGCGGAGTAAGTTGGCACAATTGAAACAGCCAGAATATGAGTTTGTACACAGCTGTTTTTAACAAATGTATAATCCTATTTTATGTAATGTTACTCAATGTAATGGCCAGATATATTCAGTACTTTGTCTTGAGTAATGTGAACATGTTTTGTTACATTGTAAGGAATTAAAGCATTGAAATAAATGTTTTGTCATCAGCATCATATAAACCTAAAAGTTCGATCTGCTACTAGTCATGCCTCAGGGTTCCATAAATGTAAAAAATGGCCAGTGAGTATGGAAATCCCCTTTTTTAACTTTAGGAACATTACTCATCGTCATCGAGCTAGGCCCTATGTACGATGTACTCTACATGTATAGACTAGCTCACCAAAATGAAATGTGTGACAACATCATATACCAGCCACACAACCACCAACCGCTCGACTGACGAGAGTTTTCGGCCGAGAACTAGACCCACAATGATGGACACGACGAACAGAATAGAGGCAAAGATCAAGGCGGGAATAGTTGTTGCTGACAATATTGATGACTCCATTGTAGCCTGATTTTAGAACTATTTTGTCAAGGTGTTGTCTGCAGCAGAAAACAAAGACTCAAACTAGTAGTGACAATAGTATAGTACATGTATATCGGCCCATGCTCGGCCAAAGTACAAGTACATCCATCGATCCGTGGAGTTGTACTCGATCACGTACAGCTTGCTGGGACTCGGAACAGGTGACTTGTCGTTCGTGACAGCGCCCGCACTCGTACGACGTCCTCTGATCTTGCGTAACTGCAAGGAGCAACTCACACTGAGGAGGGCACCATGGGCCAACAAAATAGACAAAAAGTCCTTAGCTTGAATTCAAACTTGAATTCCAAGATAACACAGTGTGAGATATATTCTTACAAACATGTAGTTTATTGCACCTTCTGGCTTCCTTTAAAATCGTAAGGCCTTCAGCATCACCTGCCTTCTTTGCCAGTATCATCTCTTGATAAAATACTCGAGCTACAGACGTTTAAAGTATAAAATAAAAACACATACAACGTCAGCAACATTAAACAACGTAAGTATAATTAACAACAACTGTATAAAAGAAGGTATTTTGACTACAAAACTTTGCTCTCTCTAGCAGCATGGACAGAAAAGATCGTCGGCACCGGCCGGTGCAGGTACTAACTAGCACCTGAGAGAATGAGAAAAAATGTGAACCTTTTTTGGCAGTTCAGAGCACGGGGGGTGGAATCCTAAATTACCGAACAGTGGACATTCACTTCAGGGGCGCGTACTGTTCATGATGAAAATTTAAGTTTGGTGCTCGATTGTATACTTTTCCGTGTTGTTTCATAATCGTTCAGTTACCATTCCTAGTTGTCATTGCTATTTTATAAATATAAAATGAAAAAGTGAAATATGTGACATCCCTAATTTATGTTCCTCATCACCATATGGGGGTGTGATGCAAAAGCTCATATATTCCCTTGCTCAAAACGAAGGTGCATGAATACAGGATCCTCGCGCGATCTGGCCACAACGGGGTAGGCCTACTATCAGTGCACTGGTAATTGAAGGATTAACACACTTCTAACATCACAGAATGATCTAAAGAGATACATTAAATAAGAGTAAAGGAAATAAAACATTTAAACTGTGCATTTTTCCGGGGACAAACTGTTGCGCACGTTCAAGTCCTGACTCAAATTTTCCTCTTTTTCCCTTGTCCTTAACCTTGCTTCTACCCTTGTGCTGTCTCCTAAAGGATGGTTTACTCAGTATGCTGTCAGGTCTTCGCACCAAGCAGACTTGGAAAAATAGGTATCCAGGTGACAGTTCAATTTTGTACGAAACATATTAATTAGCAGTGGGACGGTGCCACGGAGCCGAGAACCGTCACTGTTAAAAAACCTCGCAATGAACTTACGAGAAAAATTGTTCCCACCCATGTGTGCAAGTGTACAAATCAGGCAAACCTCTGATGGTAGATCCAGCCATGTTGAACGTTGATGGGAGTTTCCATGTGTTAATCTTTGAAAGCGATCATCATTTGAAACTTTGGAAACAATTTAGTAATGAAATATAGATTTTATCATAATTTTTAAAATGAAAATCAAAGCATCTGCAGAGTTGTCACAGACCCGCTGGATGGTTTTCGTGAACTCCGAAAGGTCTCCCCCACGTAGAATGAAACGTTCCAGCCAGTATGTGGCACGCATGTGGAGCAAGCTAGCTCCCCTCGGGGCGCCAGTAAAAATTATGCGTCCGTTGTATCCTGCACGGCCAGATGTAGAGCACTCGCTCGCCGGCCGGCCGGTTGTGTCTTGGTCTTCAGATCTGGGATGATTCATCAAACGCTAGGTATAACTCTCTTTTCAGCCCGTATTTTGGTTTGAGAGATGACCCCTTCAGAACCAAAGCTTCTGAGGAACCAGTATGGACCTTAGCGGACTGAAGCTTCATAAAAAGGATTGACGAGTGACGAGGAGATCCACTTCAAGATGGTCAAGCGGAAAAGTTGCAACGACGACCCAAAAATTCTGGCCCGGTCAGTGCCGCTGCCTCTGCAGATTTTCTTGTGGAGACAGACGAGGTTTGTAGACCTTTCCTTACTTCGCCATCGCTGTCGTTTTTTTCCTCTCACGCGCGAGGCCAGCCGCCCAGACTACTTTTAGCCGGGCCGCATTTTTCAAATGATTGTCATTCTTGAAATCCTGCAGGCAAAAATTTTTGGTCGGGTATTTATTACAACAGACATTGATGGGTTGATAACTGGCAAACACATTGCGGGTGCAGTTAGTCATTAGTAAACAGTACTGGTGTTTTAATTGAGGGAAATAGTTTCATTAAGGGAGTGATGCTCTTAAAAATAAAACGACCTTTGTTTTCTACAAACGAATGTCAAAGCCTTCAAATTTATTTAGCCCTGAACAGTAAAAAAGTTACAAAAATCCATCGAAATTGCTCATATTAAACACAATCTTGACTCTCGCACAAATTTACTGTACTCCCTTTTGAGTTGATTATCTTATGAATGAATGTTACTAAAAGGCAAATCAAATCAGGATGGAGTACAATAAAGTTGCCTCATTTTCAATATTACAATTGACACTCACACAAGAGTCAAGTGATCATTTTTCAATTTCATTGTCAGTACATGAATCCTTTAAAAATGTGCAAGATGTAAGTTTTGCATTGGAATGATTGTTTTGGTTTGTAGATGTGACCGCCTTTAGCGGAAATACAAATAACAGCATTTAGCTCTGTGTAACTATTAGCTTTGTGTACCCCTGCAAAACAGTGCATTATTTGCATCTTGGATACATAAATTTAACAAGATAGAATCCTTTCTATATCAGGGGCAGATCCAGGGGGCATGGGGCTGCACGCCCCATCCCCTTTTCACCTAAAAGAATTAAATACATAAAGGAGACAAAAGAGAGAGAAGAAAAATAGGGTTCATACTGCCTGAAATTGCACCATAGAGTGCCCAGAATCCTAGGAGTCCCAGACCCCACGCCGTAAGGGCTTCGCACTATGCACTCGCAGGGATTTTACCAATGCTACTTTAGTTCACACCGCCCCCCCTTTGAAAGTCTGGGGTCACGCCTTCCGTTTGGGAAGATCCTGGATCCGCCCCTGTGTATAGTTATTTAAATATGCAACCTTTCAACCTTGCAAACTTTGACCACCATCCTACTCAAAAGCATATAAATTTGTGCTAAGCCCATCAATCAATAACTGCATGTGAGATTTAGTTGTGTGTTTATAAGTTACAAGTTCAAAATACAATCTGCTAAGATCATTTAAATGTACATGTACATGTAAGTAGGCATCAGTTTTGCAAGTTGGATCAACAATGCTTAAAACCTTGCTTCAAGGTTTTAATTGAACTAAACAGTGCAAAAATTATCCCAATGTATTTTGGAAGCATATCTGTAATTCCAGAAAATGAATTGTACAATCACAAATTCAGTTGTACTATTTTCGCCTTTTATTTGTGGAAGTGCTTTTCAACTTTTGTAGAGAATTATATTGCTTGAAATTAATCATGTTTAACAAACTGAAAAATTTTCTTTAATCATTTTGTCAAGAGCAAAACCCAGAGATACAGTTCACTTGTCACTGAAAATGTGGAAGAATTCAGCAACAATTTTACACATCCAGGTACTCAGTGGAGGTGATCGTCATGCATTTATGGAAACTCCAAGATGATAAGCTCTGATTTTTAAATTCTTTAGACTTGTGAAAGACTTGTTTTTGTAGAATTTTACTAGTGATATTGTTTTTAATTGCAGTCCTTTCATTCGACCCAAGTTGGGAAGGCTCTACGAAGCCAGTTGTGTTGTAAGTACCTTTCTTTTATGAATTGTTCAAAATTCTAGCATTTGCCATCAAACTCTGTGGACAATCTTAATCCGTTTTCTGATTTGGAGAACTTGCATGAATTACGGATTGAACAGTGTGTATGTGTACATAATTTGCAAATTCTAGTCAAATTGTAATGAAATGTCAAAGTCTAGTGCTTTCTTTACCGACCTACATGTAGATGGGTGGTCAATTGTTTGTCCACACTTTGTATCATTTTTCATAAATGTTTTTAACTTTAATTTGGCATTGGAGTGTACCCTGTCATATACTCATTTTTTTAAAATTAACCTTTACCTTTGTTAGAATTTGTGTTTGTTTTTCCCAGTTGACCATCCACAAAAGTAAAGGACGGTATTTATCGAAATAATTCAGTTTCATCTTTTTTAAATTCTTATTTTTATTATTATTTCATATTTTTGAATGTTAGTGCCAATCTCGTAAAACAGTAGGGACCATCATGCTTAGTAGGTTTAACTCAAGTCTTCAATCTAAAATATATACGGGTAGGCTATGCCCATCCCAGAGAGGGCTGTAGTTTGTAAATGACTGCCTGCATTGAAGAGGTGGATTAAAAAATAATTGCTTTGTTTCTCATTCTAATATAGTGTTGCTTTTTTTGCTCATGAAATCAACCTGTGCATATTAATGCGTGTTCAGTGAAAGTCTGTCTGAAGTACCTGTGCAGCATTCAGCTTTTCCAGATGGACTGAATACAGGTTCATATGTAATACATGTACAGTAGATTGCTGTCTCACAGCATTAATTCAAGGTTATGTTTGATGCACATGTACTGTACATGTACATATAGGATGTTCACGCCTCTAATAATGCTTGTGAGTGTACATGTTGATGTACATGTGTGTCAAAACAAGGATAGATGGGAAAGACAAGCACTGCATAAAATATCTGGCAGCCTTTGACGATGAAAAATCTTTGAAAAAAAATAATTTGAGAGCATTGAATAGTGACATGTTCTTTCTTTAATTTAAAACTTTATCCTGGTTTTTATTATAACAATGAAGATCCATGAATTGATAGTCATAATTTATTGTTTCATTTCATTATAAGTAAGAACTAAATTTTTCAAGCATTAAAGCCATTGGAAATTCTAATGATGCAATACAATAAATGACCCTCAGTTGCGTATTAATTTAATGTACCATTTAATGTCCCATGCTATGCATTATGAAAACAGCGTTCAAAATACATGTAAGTAATTAATGTGATCTACCACACTCGCTCTCTCCAGCACACGAGATGTGATTTAATCTGTGCACGGCAAAGTGCACACATCCGTTCTCCCCACAATCATTGTAATGATTTATTCAGTCTGTCCATCCGACCAGCTGCCATTGCTTTCTTAAGGGTATCCGCCATCATCTCATGTGCACGCAAGCCGGAACACCTATAATACACAGGCCTCTCTCTCTCCCCCTTTTTTTCTATTCCGAAATCCGTCTTTCCCGGCACATGCAATTCAAGCCCGTATTGATTAAGCACACAAGAGGTGATTATCATCGGCAATAATTTATGAGATTCCCGGCCCATGCTGGCCAGGGCAGTCCTGCTAGTTTGGAACGAGAAAGAACAACAGCATGGAGACGGTGGCAAACGGCCAGTCATATTATTCTGTTTGTCCGTGCTTTCACTGTGTCATATGTGGCACGGGGGTGTCAAGCCGGTGTCAAAATGACTGCTCTTGTGCGAGTGATTTAGCAGGGCAATTGTAATGTTATTAAAATGTTAATTGGGCCTCCATTAATCAGCCAGTAAGATGCTGTGTGTCTTGTGTGCAGCCTAGAGCAATGAACAGACACTTAAAACGAGCTGGCCAAAAAGGTACATGTGAATTGCATGTATTTTTTCACCGAGTTAAGGACAGTATTTGATGTAATATTCAATCAAGGATTGTGAACTTTACATGTAATTATTTTGATCCCAATCATCAAGTACTGTACTTGCACATGTAAGTCAGTTTCATGTCGCCAATGACCAAATCAAATCAGTCTCAAGTTCTCTTTGTTACAGAATTCCTGGCATTTTCTTCAGCTTTTTTTCTGCTCAGATTTTTTGTCGTAATCAGTTTTGTCACAAGTAGTGTACCAAATCTCATACATGTACATACGTACGTGATATCAGATGAAGTTGTCTTATCTAATGGAGTAGTCAAATGTACACTCTGTCAATTTGTCCAAAATTTGTTAGAAATACTGCCTTGTCCTGTGCAAATTTAATGTGCAGTACTGTACATGTACGTCAGGGCTACAGTAGCACTGTGAAAAAAAGATGTACTGGAACTTGTATATTTTTGTAAGGACAACATTGATTTTGTTTAATTGTGTTTTAACTGAACTATGAGAGAAAGTGAGAAACCTTTTCTTGGCTCGTAAATTAGTGGAAATTTACATGGAAAGAAACAATGTGACATTGCCACAACACAAGCAGTTTTGCATACATTAAATACTGTATGAGCAGTTGGTAGTATTTGATTTACTGGACTTTATGCCTTTGATAACTGTCATCAGAAGGAGGAAACGTAATTTAGAAACTTGGTGATGACTTTGAAATAAAGTTTATGGGGTTTCTGTATCATGGGTTACATTTCATGCTGAACGGTAAGAACCGTTGACATGCTGTACAATCTGTGTGTGCATATCTATGAACTAAATGTTTATTTGCTAACCAGTGCATTGTATTTACTTAGGTTCTGCGGCTTTTTTAAAGACAGACCTAACCGTGGAAAGAATTGTCAGCATCATAAAACACTTAATTCAATGTAAAATATCCCCCCCACCCCGGAATCGTAGTAGCGCTGGTGTTTGAGTGTTGTTTAACCACAACACTGCAAACTCTAATTGTTGTAATCCTGATGTACTCCATTTTATATAGGTACATTGTATAACACCCAAAACAGAACCAGAAAATTGGCAGAATTTGAAGGCTAACATAATTTGCAGGCCTTAGTGTTACCTGTATTTTCACCCTTGAACACAAGATTTCTCCAATATTAACTGGGACTTCATCTGCTTCAAATTGATATTCTGGACAAATTTTCATGAACACGGATTCAATACACGTATGAGCCATACTTGAGTCGTAAAAATTATGTACATGTACGCTGTCTATGAATCTGTGAGTACTGTGAATCTCTCTAAGAGCAAGTCGTCGGGTGCCCGGCAGAAGGGTGTAAGCGCACTTACGCCCTATTGCCAGGAAGCATGATCACAGCAGATAAAATGTTCCTTGCAAAAGGGCGTAAGAAATACCTCTCTTTATTTAGTAAAAATGGATAAAATTTACTACAAAATCAACCTGGGCTGTACAAAGTGCAACCTTTGAACAACTTATTAAAGGACTTGGGCTTTTTTTTTTACTTTTTGCCAAGAAATCTTCATATTTCATTAAAATACACTAGTTGCATACTTCCGTCCTCTTGCCGGGAAAATTGTTTTTGCAGTGATCATGCTTTCCGGCAAAAGGGCATTAGTGCTTATGCCCTTCTGCCGGGCACATGACAAACTATGGTCTACATGCAGTCCTCCATATGCAAATGCTTATTGCATATTTATATGTGCATGCTGAGGATTTGCACAGTGTACTCAATTTGTAAAGAGCAAGGCTACAAAGTATTAATTCAGGCAAATGACAGTTTTACACCAAGAAACCAGTGACATTTCAGAAACGGCATGACTCCGCCCTCATTTCTTGAATAAAAAAGTTGTTTCTCCTGTCAAAAAGTTCCAATTAACCACTTTGCTACATTTTTCCAGACTTTAGTATGGAGGATCGTCATGGTAGACTTCAGTTGGAAATTTGCTGCTGTGGATTTAAATATCTTCACTCTCATAATAAAATTCAAACTTCAGTTTGTTGTCATTTATGAGGTCAATGGATAACTTAAATGTTTGCAACATGGGAAGAAGGCTTGTTGAAATGTGAAGAAACAAGTACCACTGCATAAGAAGTGAGAAAGCAAAATGTAACAATGGCAGAGGAAACGTTTGACCTAAACAGAGGCTCCATTGGCTCATCAGGGATGAGCCAATGGAGCCTTTGTTTAGGTCAAATGTTTGATAATAAGGAAATCCACTGGGAATATGCAGTCCCCAACTATAATTTCATCTTCTTTAATTTAATATTTACACGATACTCATAGATGAGCTACATACATGTGCATTGTGACGAGGGAGGATGTCATTAAATTATAGTACATGTAGTAATAAAATTGTGCAAATAATATGATTGTGCATACATGTATAGGCCTTTCTCCAACCATCACCATCATCCTGAATTTTATCATTCTCTCTTGCCTGTAGCTTGCAAATTAATTGTAAGAGTTGTAATTTTACAAAAATAGGTTAACAATGTACATGTATCGTAATATGGTTCCCTAGATGCTGTCTATCCCACACATAGCAGGCATACCACTGTGCATAATATTTTTTGTACTTGCCACTAACACCGAGCATGCACAATTCAATAGTGAGTGGCCATTTAGTATACTTGGAGGAGTTTCTATCGTGCATTCATCACCATGGTAATTTGTCTTTTCTGCATGACCAGCGGGCACAGCAGGATTTAATTTCTCCCAGCACGTAGCAAATGCCACGAATTGATGACCTACATGTCCGTTAATTTCTGGGAACAGTAAACGGGCAGAGACGATTTGGCTTGGTTTGAATTTAAGATACATTGTGGATGTACATGTATGTTTGTATGCATACATGTACATGAAGATAATGGATGATAGATGCAATCAAGAAACACACTGTTTATTGGATAGATGGAATTTATAGATTGAACATTATGTATATATAAGAGAAAACTGCTCAAATCCTATACATGCAAATATAATGAGGTAGGTGGGTTAATTTCTTTTGCTAGGCAGTTTAATTAATTACACCTGCTGTTGGAGTAAAATATGCATGTAATCAACAAATGGTCCCTTCTTAATATTACATTTTACTTTTACAACATTCTGAGACTGAATTACAAAACCAAAACAGCAGAATGGATACAGAAAAAAATCTACAGGCGTATCAGATCTAAACAATGAACACAAAAGGTGGTGTTTAATTATTTCATAGTACATGTATAAACTGTACCAAAGCCTTTTCAGCATCTCTCTCACACACATATCTACATGTCATGTACCAGTGTATATATAGACACTGTTTGGTTTCATGTTCATTTACTGTACAGAAAATAGAAACAATCTGAGCCTTTCTTTATGACAGTAATAAAAAGAGAACGATGTCAGTATCTGTGAATTTTTAACAGGTTTGTGGTGTGATGTTAACCTGACATGACAGTGTTTACATGCATGTTTGTAGTTTGTAAGTTAAAACATTGACCGTTCCTGGATCACTTGGTGGATGTGTATTCATGTACATCTATGTACACGTACATGTAACTCGTCATCTGTGTTGTACATGTACACACAACATCTGTGATGTCTGTGAAGGCAGACTATGTCTTGAACTTGAAATGGATTGCACAAGGCCAGTTGTTGCAGCTAATAACACTCCATGGTGGGGCCTCAGAGTTTTGAAATATAAGGTTGCAGTCTGAGAAATATCATACAAATATTGTATCGGTATGGCTCTTAAGATTCAGTATACCTTATGTATGTGTTCAGTTAGCCTTATTATTTAGGAATCATTTCAAATGCCGATCAACATTTACTGCCACCATATGTAAAGCTATGATGGTACCTGTAGGTCTGTATACTATGCATACATGTTTGTAAGTTTTTCCTTCTCAATAACGGTCATATTTGATCGGAGTATGAGAATTATAGTGTATACAGGCATACGTTTATCTGTTCTTTTTGCAATAATGTGCAAGTTGTTTAAAACATTAGTTGTACCCCTAACATTTCCAAATTCTCTGATGTCAATATAATGATTTTACATACACCTAGGGGGTTAGGGTTAAACTGAGACTGTGATCAAACCTCCCTTTTCATTAATGCTTAGTGATCAAAATTCCATTTTGGATTAAATGTAATTTTTGCTTGTCTAACTTTTTTGCAGTCCTTTGAAAGAGTGCTTGTAGAGAACAAGCTCCATGGCCTGTCTCCCAGCCTCTCCGATGCCATCAACAGCATCACACGATGGCAACTAATTCAGGCCTCCTTGCCCCACCTCATGCACTGCTGTGCCGCCCTCCTCAGCAACCGCGCCAAGCTGGGCCATGCAGACAAGCTGGGTGTGGCCGAGACCAAACTACTGCTGACCCTCCACTGGGTGCTGCTGGAGTCGCTGGAGGAGTGCCTGCAGGAGGACAGCTCCCAGTTGGACTTCCTTCGCCTCCCGGGCAATTCGGAGCATGGACTGACCACCATCCAGCTCTTTGTGTACCTCTTTGCCCCGCTGGTGTACAGCATCAAGGAGTCAGATCTCACGTTTCGCCTGGCCAATGGTTTGAAGTTGTGGCGGCCATTGTGGGACCATAAGCTCCCAGACATATCGAGCTTCACTGCCCAGGTAAAGCCCAAGCGCTGCTACCGGTTAGCAACCCGCCGGATCTGGAAGGATCCCGAGATGACCAGCAAAGTGGAAGAAGAGAAGGAGGAAGTGGATGAGAAGCAGGAACAAGAACAGCAGGAGCAGAAGCAGGAACAAGAGGAAGCGGTTGGAGAGCCACCTAAAGCCGAGGAAGCTCCTTCAGAATCTCCCCCAGGAGTTATAGTCCCTCTGGCAGACATCTCCGAAGTAAGTCGCTTCAGCAGTGGGGCAGTGACACCTGACCCACCCTCAGTCAATGTTGAGATTGTCTGCGAGGTGTGCAGCACATCAGTGACTCAGAACAACACTTGCCGGTGTGGGAACCTGAAGGTTACTGGGGATATGGCCGCTAAGACGAGATTTGACTTTGACCAGGTGAGCTCCTCAAGCTCTGAGGATGAGACCAAGCCCTTGAAACCAAGCAGAGCCAAGGAACGACCAAAGTCACTCATCGAAAGAAGCATTCTTCCACTCCATGAGGGAATCGATCATGCCGAACTTGCAGCCTCACTCTCTGTGCCAAGGCCTCCCCCACCCTCAACCAGCCCAACAGACCTACCAAAGCGGAGACTTCCACAGCGGATCAACGATGTCTTCTCGGCCACGTACTTTGATGTAGCTGTCATGCGGTGCCTGTTCATCCCCCACTGGGCAGAGGAGGGGGTTCAGTGGGCTCTCATGTATCTCCTGAGCAGACTGCGACAGATTGCTGATGAAACTATGGCAGCTGAGAGGGTGCGACAAAGAAGTAACTCCTCCCCCATTCCCCAAATCACCATATCATTGTTCTCCCCTGTGCCGGGGCCGCCAAAGAAATTCTCCGTGCCAATGAGCTGCATGGGTGGCTCTGAGCCTTCAAAGGATGAAGGAAGGCACAGGGAATCCTACCCACTTGTTGGATCCCCCAAGAAGATGAAGTTTGAGAGAGTTGAACCGCTGCCTCTGAGGAAGATCAGCCCCCCCAAGAGATCCAGTCTGGGAGACCAAGGACGAGGAAACAAGGCTCACAGAAAACTGAGGCGCACTTCAAGCCTGTCTAAGACTGTCGGTGCATTGATGCCCAAACTCATCAAGGAGGAGATTGAAGAGGGTAAGGTGGGCTCTGGGAGTGATGAACAAATAGTGCAAACTCTTGATGCTAGTTCCACTAAGACACCAACACTCGGTGAGGTGCCCAAGAGCTCGAGCACAGGGACGCCAAAGCTGGAACCTTTTAAATTTAAAATTGATGTAGTGCAGCTAAAGACAGTGCCAGCCTTGATGAGTCCAGAGGAGCTGACCAAATCAGGTTCTCCGTCAACACCACCTTTGTACTCTACAGGTTCATTGGATTCTAAGAGACCTTTTGTGAGCACTACCACAACATCTTCATCCTTTGTTTCGAGGCCCACAGCCCTTCCCTACCAACAAAGCTTCTCAGCTACTGCCACAAAATTGCCATCATTTGTGCAAGTATCTGCAGATGCGGCTCATAAGCCAACTGTGGTGACCACGCAGACCCGACCTTTTGGCGCAACATCCAAAGTATCCCCAATAGTCATCCCACCTATCAAAGCAGAAAAATCATCCACCTGTTTCACTGTCACCAAAACTACCACAAACGTGCAGTCCTCATCTGTTATGACAGCCAAAGCAGATTTCTTCTCTGAGCACACCAACTCAACTTCTACCAAGTCTGAGAAGTTGTACGAACGGCGGGCAATGAAATCAGAGAAGAACCTGATAACCCTCCACAAACCAGTCTCTGTGGAGGTGCAGGAGAAGCCACTTCTCATTTTTGACGAGCCCGTCACAATCGAGCCGCAACCTGCCAAAGTTGTCCACAAGGCCAACGTAGTGCAACACAAGGCTCCTGTGGTAGTGAACCGCCCAATGTTGCAGCGGCAGTCACCTGTCTTTGAAGCACCACCTCAACCCCTGGACGCAGTCCCAAGCAGTGACACTAATGTCACATTTGAGGCCGCCAAGCCACTGGTGACCCCCATCCTCATGAACAATTCCAAATCTCCCCCTACCTCCCCAGAGGAGTTGTCCCCACCACCTGAGAAATCCCCGTCATCCGTCAGTTCATCGTCACTTCTCATACCTGTCTCGGAGGACCTCAGTGAGCCTCCTCCACCCCAGTCGCCTCCTTCCCCAGACAAGCCCCCTCAGTCGCCTTCCTCCCCAGATAGGCTCACCCATCAGGACTCCTCCAGCATGTCCAGACTGGACATCCCTACTTTTCTGCCCCGCAGTGCATCAGATACCTTCGTCAATTACCACACTTCTGAGGAGGAAGAGATTACAGAGGCGGCCGGCTCTACCTACTACATCCAGGAAGATGGGCAGATGAACTACAGCGTCATCATTAAGGCACTCCACAAGATCATCACCAAGGAGACCACTGCCAAAGTGTGTGACACCTCCCTGCACATCATTGAAACCATTTTGGAGTTCCGTGTGGTCAAGCAAAGCGAGAAGCCCTCTCAGGCTAAGATTCCAGTCATTAAGGTGGAAGGAGAGAAGGTCAAGGCGCCTGATAAGGATGGGGATGGTGATGTAGCCTCCAAGAGCCTGGAGGACATGACAGTACATAATCTGGTCATGGAGACTCTCATTCAGGTGTTCCGTGCTCTTGGATGTCATCATGGCTGTGGTGAGGGACTTCGGGGACACTCTGGTAAGTTGAGATTTACATATTTCAATATTACATGTGTAAATAGAAAGTTTAACTTTGTGTGAATATAATTATAGGTGATCATTTTCCAACTCATCTACAGAACACCCATTGATGTCATGGATACACGTGTACATGTAACAATTTCACCAGTTATGACTGAAAAAAAGAAATGTGAGCACACTATTAAGCTTATCCTGATTTTGTTTGCCCCCAAACCCAACTTTGGGTCTAACATTTTGCTCGTTGCTTGTGTCAATCAAAATGGGTGATAAAGGTTGGCGCTGAGTAACTTCATCACAATCAGGTCTGACAGACTGATGAAGCAATTTCTTTTTCCTTCTCTGTTCTGTTCACTGCTCCCAAATCCACCGCATATTGTTTTGCGTGCAGTTTCTCCCCATACCAGTACCTCAGCATTTCTGGTTTCACTCCCTGCTCTAAAACTGGAACTGCCATTTCTCAATGACATGGAAAAGTCAGGAAGCACTTTGATAACTGCTCAAGACAAAAAATTGAATGAAAAGCTTGCTTGGTAAACAACCACTTTATCAGATGCAATAATGAAACATTTTGGTCAAGTACATGATATGATAGAGTCCAGGACAGTGTAAACAAATGAAGCCAGCTAGAGAGTAGTTGAATCCTATAGGAGTTGAATGGTAGGCTTGATCACAAGTAGCCACACAGGTAATTGACAGCTGTGGGAACCATTGAAACATGAACAAATTTGACTTACTAGAATGATGTTAGCCAAACAAGGAGACAGGCAAATAAACTCCAACTGTCAGAAATGGAACTGGAGCAATGTCAGGCAGAAACATGATGAGTTCAAGTGTTAAATGATAGAAATGGGCAATAAAAGTTACACAAAGGAAGATCACCATCTTTGAATAGTATTGTTGAAAAAGGTGAAGGTGTGGCAAAATATTTCTTCCAAATACTGTTCAACTTCCCGTGCATCAGGATTTGTGACATTTAGCTGTATGTCAAAAGTTGCCTGTCATATCTTGCCTTTTTACAAGACAAGTGGTCAAAGGGAATAAGATTAAACAAATTAGTGGAACTCAACTTCTCTTTTTAATTTCAATTTGTGGTTTACACAACGTGAAATTACGTTTGGACATCAGACATTTTTCGAGGACTTATTGCATTTGTGCGAACAAAATAGAAAATGCTCGGACAACTTTTCAGACCAACATATCAATAACAGCTCTTAAAATATCAACAAATATATGGGATTATGGCTTTCGATTTATTTTTACTTTTGAGTGAGAATTACGTTAATTATGCCCAAGGCATTCTTCGGGGATGATCGCTCATCACTGGCTCATGTCATTTAGGGCCACGCACGCGTGTATACTAAACCTACATAGACGCATCATCAACATTCATGTTTCGCTGTCACAGTGGTGAAAACACGTGCGCGAAACTCTATGCATTAAATGAAGCTGCTGTGGTTCCCGCCCCACGCAAAAGAATGCGTGATGGAAATGCAGCAACCAGTACCAGTCTGTACTGTGCATGTACTGAATGTACAGTTCATAAACACTCTTAATTGGCCGTACATGTTGCGAATTCAAAAACCTGCAGGCTGGAAAGACATCACTGCAATGTTGCGAGAGGTTTTCTGCAAGTCAATGCACAGAACTTGGTCTCTTGTTTACATGTATGTACATGGATATATTTTCTATGTTCATGAGTGTACAATGTACATGTAATTTGAGGTTGTTCTGCTTATGGCACAAGGTTTAGCGCCCGCTGGTCTAGATGCATTACGCACACTTATCACGCGACACACAGACATTGTTGGCCAGTTTGCCTTCATGATTGCCGTCGTGATTGTGTGAATCATTCATAAATTTCTTGTGAACTGCCGTATGTAGAAATTTTTATATAGATTTTAAGACAGGTGTTCATCACTTTTTGAGATACTTTTGGAGGCTGTCGCCCCCACTGATACCATTCAATCAGCACAAAATTGCCTCAAACAAAAAAAGCATGTTCCGACCTACCGACCCAATTTTTGAAGGCATGCACAGCACAAGTCAACTGTATTTTTTTGCCCAATAAAAGACTGCATGTATACAGTAGGCCAATAACCATAATTATTGTGGATTCTGAGAAATCTTTGGCAAGTGTTGATCCAATTCGAGCAAGCAAATTTATGACATGACCTGCCTGATCGGGCAAACTGAAAAAAAAAAAAGTCGCAGCCTGCGCCCAAACAAGAATTGCTCAATGTGGCTGCTGTGCAGTTCTGGTAGGACCAGGGACAAAAAGTGAATTTTGACACCTGACACTGCACGTTACAACTCTACCTTTTATATAATATGGCAGATCAAAAGATGGTAATGGCAGTACAAAATGGATTGTGTTATGGCATATTGTCCAAGCACTTTTTGGCCTAATTTCGTGCTCTGCTTTACATATTTAAGTTGTGTAATACCAGAGGTTTTGGAAGAATCTTGTTTATTTCAGCCATAATTATTTTACAGAGGACCTGACCCAATGGCTTGGCTTCACCATTGATAGGCCAGACCACGCTCAGGCAATGCAGGGGCCTTTGGACTGTCTAAAGTCCTATAAATAATGGTTGCTCCACCACCAGACTACATGTATGCTCTGTCCTGGGTCATTGCTGTCACTGACTTGACAGCTCCCATCAGCTTTGATCATGCCGAGAAACTCTCCCTTCCCTGCTCAAGGAGTGTGGCTGTTTCATTCACATGTTTCAGCTAATTCTCCATTTGTTTAGTTACCAACACTGCATGGACCTGAACAACAGCCACAGACGCTGACATGGGCGGGACTGACAACCAATCCTTATTGATTGGTAACACCTCTTAATTGTAAAGTAGTTCAGGGCTAACTAAAGCAAGGCAACAGACTAGAACACCCAGACACTGCCTGGCTTTTTAGTGGTGCAGCCACACATATGTTTCTGATTTCCTTCCTCAGTTTGGTCACATTTTTCAATTTCTTAAAAGCCTGAATGGTGCATTGTCTGACTGGATTCAGCTTTGCATGTTTCCCATCCATCAATTGCACAAACAGCTGTGGTGTGTTCCACTCTGTGCTAATTTGCAGAACAGTCATTTGCAAACTGCTGAGACTATTTACAAATCCCTCTGATCGTTCAATAGTTGTCAAAAATTTACAGTGGAGCAGCAATGAAACAAGCAGAAAGTGTAATGCTCTGCATTAAGAGCATCCAAACAAAAATTGCCATTGAGAATCTGTTAGTTTTGTTGCATACAGTGTATGTTGAATAAACCAAATGCACTGAATTCAAAGTATTACTCACTCACACCAAGTAGCATAGGAAGGAAAGCAAAAAATACCACTGACTCTAAACTATGTGCCCTGAAATGTTATAAGAATGTAAGATGACAGTTATGAAGAAATTCATTTTTGTTCCTGAGCATTGTTATTTACTCCTCATCTTGCTTGTGTGGAACTGAAAACTAAAAGTGGTCACGAGATGAGAACTGCACCTACATAAAAGAAATACGGGTTTTCTACATAGTGCTACCACAAACCTGAGATTTAAAAATGGTTGATTGATCTTTTGGGTAAACACTATTTGACTGTAAACTTGCATGTCAGTCACACATTATTTCCCACTGTTTAATCAGTGCCATCCTATATTGAAGATGCACTTTGAAGTTTTGTCATGGTGGAAACATCTTCTTTCAATTCCATGATACTGATGCAGTCATTAATCCATAAACTAATGGAAGAAGTACCCTGCATGTACATGTATGTGTAGATCTGTCGGTCTGAAAGGATTATGTGGGCTGTGACCTCATAAATATTGAAATAAATGTTGAAATAAAAAAATAAGGTTAATTCTAAGGCTGAGTGAATCGAAGACTACTGACAAAAGATGAGATCTTTAAACAAAACAATGGCAGGCTATTCAAAACCCTTAATTCAAGTCTCTGGGATTTGGGAAAGAAGGGAAAGATAAATGAAACTCAAGTTTGAGAGCTGTCAGCATTTGTAATATGTCTTGTTTTAAATTTATGCTTCTTGTTAGTACAAAAAAAGGAAAAACGATTCCAAAGGTGAATCGTGATCTGTTGTTCAGGCTTTCTGCTCTGCACACTAAAATGCATGCTCTAACTAACTGTACAATTCGGCCTTGTTCCATTTATTCAATTAATGTGTACTGTTCCAGTTTGCATCATGCAAAATG